AGATCCTTTTGGGGGTCTGGGAACCTATAAACCCTAACACCCAAACTCTGAACCCTTAAGCCCTAGGCCCCAAAGCCTGTGAACGCAGATTCCCGAGAAGCGGATGCTCCCAGCTGAAGCTTACGCGATGACGCATGAGTCCCTCATCGCCAGGCCGGGATCCGGATCTGTGGGGTTTTGGGGCTTCGGGTGTAGGGTTTAGGGGTTCAGGGTTTAGTGTAAATTTAGGGCTGTTGCAGGGCTACTATAAGGGAATTCTAGACAGCTACGGGAAGGGCTTCTACATAGGCTCTTCCTACCGGGATACTAGGAGGGCTGCTTGATCGGGCTTGCCACTGGATAGGCCTTTGTGCGCCGGATTGTTGGGTGTTTCGGTCTGGAGACTTCTAAAGGAATCCTGAATAGCATGACGAAGCTTTCCCAAGGGTTGAGGGTTTAGAAAAGCATGACGAAGCTTTCCTCTAAACACTTCTACACTGCAGCTGGCTTGGCCCCGCCTCTCAACATCCGCGGTTCTGTATGCTGGCAGGCATGTGAACAGCCACTGATGTTGTTTAGACTCTGCAAACAACCCTGGCAAAATGAGACAACGGAGGAGGATATGAAGCCGTCCTTTGCCTAGCAGCTCGATTTGAGAGCGTCGGTTTCGCGACTCAGCCATGCGCCTTCGCTCGGTGCTGCGGCCTGCTGTTCGGGCCACAGCTGCAGCAGCACTGGCCTCCAGCTGGGCCAAGCCGCCCCTCCGCGGCCCTTGCGACTGCGATGGCCGGGAAGCTTTCGTCTGACCCTAAACCCTAAACCCTAAACCCTAAACCCTAAACCCTAAACCCTAAATCGGCACATGCTTGTGGGGCAGCGAGATTTACGGCAGGTGGCAACAGGTGGGATCGCCACCGCCGCATGGCGACACCGCTGGACATCCGCCTCGGCCTGACCAAGCCGGAGGCCTCACCGTCTCACCGTCTATTGGGGGGGGGGGTATTGGGTGGGGGGACTTGTCGTAGGTAGACCAAAAGTGCTCTTTGTAAGATGAGATGAGACGGGATGAGACTGGCTTCCAGATCTCGTATCCTCCTTTGCAGTTCGAAGTCGTGAATTGTGCTTGCCTTTCTTTCGTGCAGGGATAGGTCACTGCAGAGCGAGCAGATGTCCACATGCTTCTCCCGGAGCCTTTGTCCTTCAAGTATAAACCCTAAACCCTCAACCCT